CGATAACGGGCATCCATTCACTGAGTTTGTTAGCCGAAAGCGCGAAGTTTATTCGGAAATATGGGGGTAATTTTGTAATTAGAAATACAGTTTTCAAGTAATATAAATTTATTCACAGTTTCTAGTAAATATTACTTCCTTAGAGCCTAGGATCGAGAAATAATAAAAAAATTAAACTCGTAGTTATCGTCTTCGAATATAAAAATTGTTTATAAATGATTATGATATTATGTGATGTATAATTATGATATATGATATATGATTATGATATTATAATGATATATTGATGGTATAAATGATATTATTCTCTGTTTATAATTCTATACTATACAATACTTCAAAAGCGAAAAACTTAATTATTTGCTTTTAAATACGTCATGGAGTACCAATATCCTCTGACATTCTTCCCACACATTCTAAAATGTTTAAATAATGCAGAAAATAACAAACCTGTTTGCTACAAGAAAGATGCTATTGTCAATATATATTCATGATCTTCTGCTTTTAATACTGTTAAAAATCTTTTTCAGCTACAATTCTATTCAAACACTACCTGAAAACATGTTTAATCAGCTGCTCGGTCTCAAAGAAGTAAAATTAAGCCATAATCTCTTAGAGATTTTGCCATTCGATACATGGAGTAAAATCCCAGTTTTACTGGAAAGGATGGATTTATGAGGTAACTAACTGAAATTTTTAAATATCTCAAGCTAATGTTAATACCATTTATTTTTAATTAAAAGAGGAAGAAAGGTTCAGGTTCAACTCTTCAGGTTGTAAGGATCTTAAGTTTTACTAACGTTTATTTTATTTTAAATCTTTACTATCACTTCTTATTTTCTACTTCCGGCCAGAATTAAAAGCGTTAACTTATTTATGCAAAATTTGTCTGGCGAACGCCAAGTACTTCAGTTGTGGCTTTTTGCCAAGCGAGAGAGAGGAAGGAGTTATTCGAAGCAGGCCGCTTGCCTTAGAAGTTTTACTCGGTTGCTGTTTGCCTTCCAGGCCAGAGGTTTAATCCTCGTGATAATTTTAAACGTATTGTAGTGTTAACAGTTCTCTGTACTACATACGGCTTCCTGTTAATATTCGGCCAATCTTACACGTAGGCCCTTGTTGGTTATTCCAAATTTAAGTTAGAGTTTAGTTATATTTTTATATTCTTACGTTCAGACCACAAGTAGTTGGTCTCTGTATTCCGAAGTACGGAAATTATTGTAAAGAGTGAAAAATAAAGGGTTTTGTATACCCTTCCTGTGTATCTTGTCTACTTCCCACAGTTATTAAACATAGCTTTAGTAAGCTCCCTGTTCCGAGTCAGGTCCTTCCATGTTCCCAAAGAAAGTAAGACGGAACATTGAACCTGATAGTGGCGCCCAACGAAGAAGAATAACCATGGCCGAGTTTCAAGAAGACCACAGGCAGAGGCGAAAAAGAAGGTATTCAAGGGTGACCGAACTGGAGGAAAAAGAAAGCTTCTAGAGGAAGAAACTGAGGGGCGAGCCCGCACAAGAAGGAGGATAAATCAAACGAGAATCTTCGCTACCTTCCAGGACTGGGCTCAGAAAAGAATGTCCGAATATCACAAAGATAAGTAAAATTTTATGTTACTTTGCAAACTTAAGTTAATCTTTCATTCTTACTGCAAGTGGCAGATTTCAAGAAGTTTTTACCTCATGTGAGGTCTACCTTTATCGCCAAAAAGGCGAGAAATGAGTTGTTACCGATTTTGGTATTATGTTTTTCAATTACTCGCGCGTAAAACTAAAGTTGATGTATAATAGGAATGTGTAAATACTTAAATATTGTAAAAGTTATTGTATAAATTTTATTTAAAACATTCTGGCAAGAAGAAGAGTTTTAGTCTGAAAGACTTTGAAATGTAGTATTTCAATGTAGAAGAATTGGCACTTGCTTGAAAAAGAAATAGAAGTTAACAATGTACTACTAATGTATGTTTTAAAATGCGTAAAATTAACGACATGTTAATATGTTCTTATATACAATGTGAACTGTTATTTTAAATGTTAAGAAATACTGTGATATGGTAAAAGTGAAAGTAATGCCAAAAAAATTTTTTTATTCGTGTGACTGTAAAAAGACCAAATTATGGTGAATATGTGTTAAAGGTTGAATGAATGTAGTTAGGCTCTCTGACGCTACACTTCAGAGTTAGCCACTTTCAGAATAGTACCTCAGGGTTTAGAGATGAATATAAGGTGTGATCTGAGGTCTTGTTATGTTGAATTTTAACACGTTAGTGTTTTGATTGCAGGCGGTAGTGTTGAACACTTGTACATAAACACATTCGTGTTTGGTGTTTTCTTTTACAACACATGTCAGAAAGCACGGGGAGAGATAATTAAATAAAGTCATGAATGAAATAAGAATGTTAAGAGAAATATAAATATGCATGTTACTTGCCATTTCATTGTGTAACATTTCATTAAACTAGTTTTCCTTCCAGATCTCTGGAAGGAACCAGATTTGAATAAAAGCTCCTGTTTAGATGCAGTACAGATGAAAAATTGGATGTCCATGGAGCTGCTATTGTAAAAACAAATTTTTTTTTTAAATTTCTAGTTTCTAGTGAGAAATGTTTGTAAAAGATTGGCCTCGCGTTAGATTCTAGAGCTAAAAGTTTTCAACAAGGTCGTTTTAGACCTCAGTTTCAAACTAATTAACTCTGGCGGGAAGTATGTAAGGATCTTAAGTTTTACTAACGTTTATTTTATTTTAAATCTTTACTATCACTTCTTATTTTCTACTTCCGGCCAGAATTAAAAGCGTTAACTTATTTATGCAAAATTTGTCTGGCGAACGCCAAGTACTTAAGTTGTGGCTTTTTGCCAAGCGAGAGAGAGGAAAGAGTTATTAGAAGCAGGCCGCTTGCCATAGTAGTTTTACTCGGTTGCTGGTTGCCTTCAAGGCCAGAGGTTTAATCCTCGTGATAATTTTAAACGTATCGTAGTTTTAGCAGCTCTCTGTACTACATACGGCTTTTTGTTAATTAACGGCCAATCTTGGAGCTAGGCACTTGTTTATTAATCCAAATTTAAGTTAGAGTTTAGTTATATTTTTATATTCTTACGTTCAGACCACAACTAGTTGGTCTCTGTATTCCGAAGTACGGAAATTATTGTAAAGAGTGAAAAATAAAGGGTTTTGTATACCCTTCCTGTGTATCTTGTCTACTTCCCACAGTTATTGAACATAGCTTTAGTAAGCTCCCTGTTCCGAGTCAGGTCCTTGCATGTTCCCAAAGAAAGTAAGACGGAACATTGAACCTGGTAAGGTTATTTAATAGCATTTACTGTATGGCTTAAATATTACTGTTGAAAGTTTTACAACAGAGTTCACATCTGCTGAAGCTTTAAACGATTTAAGTCTAAGCCTAGCTTGTTGCAAGAGCCTCAAGGAGGTTGGACTTCAACTTTCCACCCTAGTTTTGAGGCAGAACGCCCGGGACAGGGTCCTGGTCTCCCATCTCCACCCTACTATCAAACTGTAAGAGAGGACGCTCGACTTGCCATATATTTAGAGTGTCTCCCATGCCGCAAAGACTCTGTACATTTACAAACATGCATGCCTTCTCCGGGATTCTAACCCGGGCATTTCGGTACTGCAGCAGGCTCCACTAATCACTCTACCATCTGGGTATCAAATACTCAGTTTCTACGTCTCAAAAATTTTCAGCAGTTATTTATAGCGAAAACAGTTTTCGAACATCTATCATGAAACGTAAAATATCTTTCTCGTCAAAGTGGTTCATTTTCTAAACCTAACATGAATAACAAACAGGAAGTCGGAAATGACATCATTTACTTTCCATGATTCCTTTCTGTTTATTTTACATCAATCTTGACATAGAACTGAAGTTTTTAAAATCAGTTGCACTGAAGCACCGCTTGTGTGTTTCTCATTTGAGATACGTTTGATACGTCGTTCAGTCTCTGTCTCGATTATAGCAAAGACTCGAGGGCTATCTGCCTGAGAGGAGGGATGCGTTCGTGGAGGACTTTCTCGTGGAGGACTTTCTAAGAGAAACTGGCTCGTATACACGTCACACATGGGGGAAAAACACGAAAACGCGCCCATGCAGCCAGCCCGTTCTCGGGATTCAACCCTCAGACCGAACTACCGGTGTTCAGCGATTTTCCCGCTCGTACGCTGGTGGGCCCTTTTAAATGAAATATAAACTTCGATTGCATATTTGAATTTGATACGCATGGTTTCTTCCTTCACTTATTTATAGATTTTCTTTTCTCACTCTTTCTTCTAAAGTCATTTCCATATTTCGGTAAAATTTAGAAATTGTATATTGAGATATCAAGGGGTGAAAGGAAGACCTGTTAAATATTAGACTGGACAGTGATGCAAATGCTGGTAAGAGGGTTGGACAAGTAAGAGGAAGCAGAGGACCTGGGAAGAAAATCGGAAATTTTAGAATTGACAGAGAAGTCTAATCAGCAAGCAAGCTTGACACTTCATTCCTGTATAATGCGGTCGTTGTCAGCTCTTCGCTGACAGTACCTCTAAAATTAAGTATGTACTTGAGTGTGCTTGCGGATAACATTGCGCATGCTGTTTACCTATATATCTTCCCTTCCACTTCAGCTAACTTTATCATGTTAACGCCAATCGACTTAGAATTAAAAAGATCTTCAAACTAACATACGAAATCAGCTCATAAACCCACTCAATGGCCATAAATTCAAAATTCAATAAAATATGTAATGAATAAATACGAATTGAGGTGATTTAATAAGTGAGCAATTAAACAAATGTACATCAGTATTAAAATCAAATTGTACAAACTGCACATAAAAACCAAATTATAAACAAGTATAAATATTTACAAAATTGCGCAACATTGTTATATAGAAAATGAGTTAAATGTAAATGACAATGAGAGGAAAAGTTTTGAATCGTATTCGAATTCTTACTTAATGCATTCATTTGACGTTTAATAATGACAGGTTTTAATTTTTTTTTTTCAGGAAAGGTTTTGGTCTGCAACTGCACGTTGAATTGGATTACCAGCCGTTTGAGCAAATCTACTAAACTCATTGGCCAATGCATTGCTCCTAGAGAAGCTGAGTTCGAAGACTTGAAATCTACATTATCAACGATTACACGTCCGTGCAAATGATAAAGCAAGAACTATCAATGTATCTTACAGTATCCAGAGTATCTTACAGTAATCTTTATATATGTTTATGCATTGGACTTAAAGAGTACTGTATCCACTAAATAAACTAGCTCGTACTAAAAATAAATTTCTGTTTACTCTATACATGCAGTTTTGGTTTGAAACTTAAACGGAACTCGAATTTCCTATTATCTGGTGTAAGTATTAAGTGTAAGTATCTGGTGTAAGTGTTTCCTATTATTATTGTATTGTATTATTATAGTAATAATCCTTGTCAAGCCTACATAAATATCTGACTAAAAAAAAACTGAAAAAAAATGTGCCAAGACAAATTTTTAAATTTTCCCATAAATTTCTCACCCAAAATTACAAAATTTAATATTTAGGCATATTTTGAATCGTAGAATCGAAATATGTAAAAACAAATTATGTGTTATTTCAGAAAAATTCCGATTTTGTGTCAAAATACTTATGTTGGAATAATGCTATATATAAATCTAATATATATCCTAAATCGCGCTTTCCAGATATGAAAAACGCAATATGAATTTCGTCAATCGACTCAGTAGAACGGGAGATACAGAACTGTCCTTTTTTTCCCGCAGTGTACATATTGTTTTATCCGATTTGCATTTGTATTATCCGAATAGGTTTCATCCGATTTATGTAATATTATTTCATGCGCTTTATTCTATTCCCTTATAAAAAGGAAAATGAAATAGAAGAGTGATATATCGGTAGAGTCATTGGGCTTTTTTGAAGCAGGAGACGTTAAAAATGTGCAGTGCCCTCGCCAGAACTTAAATACGCATCGAATATGCTTCCAGTTACACGCGGAAAGAGGGTATAAAATACCTTATATACTATTTTATTAATAAAGTAGTCTGAAAAAAAAATTTATCTTATAACTTAATTTTTGAAATACTGAAAGTAAATTATATTCTAAAATATAAATAATAGATCTTATTCATATTATCATAATATATAAGAATATCACTTTACACTATGCATTTCTTCAGCAATTAAAAAAATATTCGATTATTCATATAGTCACCCAATAGAGCCCACCAATTTGATTTTCTGTGGCGGTAGAGACTTCCTTTACCAAAGAAGAATTCTTTTATTTTTCTAAAACGAAAGAATCTGAATAAACTATTTTTCGTCTTTACTTTCTTTGTTTAAAACATCTTGAAGGTCACCAAAAATTATTACCATTTATCGTACTTTTCTTATAAACTTGTAACAGAACTGTAGTAGCAAATTTGTTACATTTTAATTGCGTTTTCGAATTTTGTATACATATATATATATATGTATTTAATTTACGTATGCTCTTTGAATTTAAATGATATTGTAAATTAGTTCGCAGAAATAAAATAATCTTTTATTTTTATTTTATTATTTTTAATTATTTTTTTTTTTTTTTTGCAATTTAAAATTTCTTAATTTCAATTTAATTTAATATTAGCTTTATACAAATAGAGAATATTTGTTAAATATTTATATGTATATATATGTGTGTGTAATAATAGCACAAATTTTTGAAGCATTGATGTAACAAAACTGAAATGTAACTGCGCAGAAATATAAATGGCGTAGATACTAGATGTTTAGAACGTCCATCCATTTTGAAGAATAAACAGTCGAGCCGAATCAAATTCCACATTTAGTTAAATTCACAATGGTGGCCACAATTCACTTGGCACTGCAATAGTGCCCACTTCTAGAACATTTACAATTTGGATACTATACCGGTAGGAGCTATCATAGCAGCACATAGATGATTGCAGCAAAGAGTCTTAACATGATGAAAGATTAAGCGAAAAGAGAAAGAGTGTCGCAGTAGTAATGCAGAGGAAGAAGGGAGGGAGTGGAGAGTTTTGGTTTACAATTTAGTGATTGATCAAGAGGCATCTGCATTAAGGGTTACGTAAAGTCCCATGATTAATATGAATGACGCAATTTAAATTTATAGCGCTATTTCTAACACAAAGAGATGAAGTTCCCAAATGAAATAAAAATAAAATAAAAATAAGAGAGGTTATAGTGAATTAAATTTAGAAATCTGCTTTCATATTTCTTATCTTACATATATATATATTTGTTGTTGCAGACATTTAATAAAAAATTATTCAAAAATGAAAAATCTAAGATTTGTCACTTGAAATTCGGTAAATTACAATAAAAATTTACTGCCAACTTCGAAATAAACGCAAACCATTGCAACAATTTTTAGAAGCAGAAATAAACTGCTTTGGCGCTAACTGAAGATCGATTTACCAGCCGAACAGACAGAGATGAAAAATTAATATAAACATCATAAGAATATGAAAGATCAGTTAAAGAGTACCATATCACAATCGTTGAGTCAGCCTGTAATAAATTACATTGTGCTGAGAAAGAATGAAAGTAATGATTCAGAAACTATTGAATAACTGCATTTTCCATTAAAGTAGTTGTACTGTTATTGAAGAAACTGAAAATATAGCTTGATTTGTTTTGTACATTAAACGATTTGATAGTGAAATTGAATAGCTATTTTAATCGTCTCTTAGTCCATATTTGACGACCTTTATCGGGTGAGTGACATGATTATCAATTCCAATGTTTGTTTTGTCAGAAATACTGATCTGCTCCAAAGCTTAAGGAGATAGCTATTAAGAAAAGGTGACGCACATATTCATTTGAAGACCGAAAATATTCATGTGATTATTTTCATTTGAAGGGGAAAACTTTTAAGCAACAGAATGTAAATTGATCTTGGCGGGCGTAAGCAAACGTCTCAGCTGCAACTCTTCTCCTGTCATATCTACTTCCCAAATCCTCGATTTTATGTATGATGGACGTCATGAAAAGTATTCGAAATGTGTTTGTATTACATATGCTTCTGAAAGAATCGATGGTGAGCGTTTAAAAGATGGAAGTATTTGAAGTTAATAGACGTCAGATTCACAGGTAGGTGCTGCTTCTAAATTAATAAATACGTAAAACTTTTGATGAAAACTACGTTGTTAATGGAAAAAAAAGTCCCAGAAAATGTTTCATTAAACCTTTTTAGTGGCATCTCGCATTGTATTACAAAATAATATTTTTGAAAATGTCGTTAGAGTTCTAGAAAATGACGTTTTTGCTTTTTAGGGGGGAAAACTATGGAAATTATTAATTTGTTTTTAAGTAGGTTTCGGAAAAAAATTAGAAGTCTTGTATGAGATTTTATGCCATAGTCTTTAAAAATTTGTCCACTCCCAGTGTGTCATAAACGACAGTGATTTCAAACTGGCGATCGAGAAGCAATTTTTTACGTCCTGCAAATACATTTCCTGTAAATTAATGAGCATTGTTATGACAAGAGTTAGAGAAGGGTTTCTGTTTTAAATGATCTGGAGCTCAATTTTACATTATTTTCTTTATCATTAAATTTTTTATCGATTTTGTTTTATTACCTGTTTCATATTTTGTAAAACTTTAAAACAAATTTTTGATTAAAAAACTCAACGATTTCAAAGAGATCAGTAGCAATACTGAATAACACATTTTTATTTCCAGTGCACAAGACTGTCTATCGAAAATTCTAAAGATATGTTGTTTTTAAATATTTTTAGCCCAAATGCTCTCGAAACATGTATGTGCATGTAAATGGAAAAAAAAAAAAAAAACCGCCCCTTTGGGTGTAATATAAAATCTGAAAGCTTTCATATTTTTTTTTTTTTTAAATTTGCTGTTTGGTTTACAGATATAAAATTCAGGATGCTGGTCTGCGTATCGTTGCGCTTTGAGTTTCTACATATAAGTATCGCAGGAAATAAGATACAATATGCACTGATCTTTAAAAAATTTAAAATTTTATGTTTCAGTTACTAGATAGATACAGTTTTTAATAAATGAATGTAAATAATCAAGATCAGTAACACTACTACATTTTGTCTAACTTTTATTTTAATTGAATAAATCAAAACATTTTATTTATGTAAAAAAATAAAATTTAAATACTGTACGTAAAAACTTTGAGGATTAAGATCACTGGCCCTTAGGGGAATTTCATTTTATTTGTGCATTGGGAGGAAAAAAGTTAACTTGTTGCCGTCCTGTATTTTCAATAATGATTAAAACTACTGCTAAAAAATTTACAATTATAGCACGGGGATAAAAATAACTAAAAAATTAGGTTTTTCGAAAATTCTCATATAAATTTTGGCTTTCCCGCCCTGCAGAATAAAATACTGACGGTATCGTTTATCTCGAAAGTGCGACTTATGATATATATTAGATTTATATATAGCATTGTTCTAAAATAGGTATTTTGACACAAAATGGAATGTTTTCCGAAATAACATATCAATGATTTTCCATATTTCGATTCTATAACTCAAGTTATGCCTAAATATTAAATTTTATAAAATTTGGTGCGAAATTTACGAGAAAAGAAAAAATTTAACTTGGCGCATTTTTCTCAAGTTTGCGCCAAGAATAATTCATTTGGCGAACTTCTTAATATACGGCAACTTATTTTCCTTTCCCTTCCATTGTGCAGGAGCGGGAAAAAAGTCACACGTTTCTACTTTCAAATAATTTTAAGAAAGTGCCTAAACCACATTTGATGTTATTATCGCTTTCAACAAATATGCCAAACTTGAAAACGCGCCAATGTATAAATTCACATATATCTTCGGAAATTTTGAATCATAAACTGTAATTTTTTTCAGGTATGCTTAGAAATACATCTACTTTCAGATGATGATAAAAATTTTATACATTTTAATTCACCATTTTTTTCGAAAAATTTATACAAAAAATTAAAAAATATAAATTTTAAAATAAATTATAAAAAATAGGCGAATTTTGTTTGGAATGAACCTAAATTTCGAAATATCAAAGGAAAAATCAAATGAGTTTAATAAAAAAAGAGTTATTAATAAATAGATATCAAATTCAATTAACATTGAGGAGCTAAAACTTTAAAAGCTCATTTTTTTTAAAAAACTACTCACGCAAATTTTACAAAACTTGGCAATTTGGCATAATTTGAGTCCTAGAATCGAAATATGGAAAACAATTGGCATGCCATTTCAGAAAAAGTCCGATTTTGTTTCCAAATACCTATATTAGAACAATGCTATATATAAATCTAATACACATCCGAAG